GGAGGGAGCGGGCGCGGCGCTGAGAGCGAGGATAGCGGGGAGAGAGATGCGCTGGCCTTGCAGGTCCGCTACCTCCAGTTGCTGCCTCCGACGCTGTGCAGCCGCAGCTTAGGTGGGTGAATCTGGTTAGCTCTTGCTGAGCAGCCGGGAGAGGAGGGAAGCTTCCACTCCCGGACCCTTTTCTTTGAAAGGCCCGTCGTCAGGAGGGGGAAGCGAGTGACATTCCTCGGCTGCCGCTTCCCGCCCCCGGAATTTAAGGAAAGGGGACAGGAGGATGACCCGCGGAGAGGGAGAAGGAATTGCAAGCTCTGTTTTATTTTACAAAGCCCGGTTGGGGGACTGCGGGATGAGCAGTTTTCCGGTTTCCTCGGGGAGATTTATCTGACTGGCTAAATACTGTATGCGGTATTTTCTTCTTCGGGGCACTTGTATTTTTCGGATGGAAGGCTCAGAAAGCTCAGATTGTAAACTCTACCTGTCTCGATTTAAGTCTTGCAAAGACATTGCAACGTAAAGGAGAGAAACGAGAAGTTAATAATTCTAATCCGGGAGGGAGATGAGAAAAGTGAAATATATGGCTCAAGCATTAGGAATTCCTTCCTTCATTATTTTGCAATTTAAAACTGTAGCAGATGGGTACCTTAAACTTCAGTTTTGCTTATTCAGGGTAGTGGGCAGAACTGTGGCTAAAGATGAATTTATAGCATATTGGATGTTTGTGTTGAAAAATATATTTTCAGCATTTTATCCTTACTGATGATAGTTTTTGTTTTATGGCCTTGGTGGTCTATGTAGTCAGGAGGAAGAGAATTATAAGCAAATATATGAAAAGAATTGAACTGATTTTTTTTCTTCAGATTATACCTCCAATAACTACTTCAGATTTCAGTAATCAGCAGTGTTCTGTTTCAGATTTGCTGGATTTTTTTTTTTCTGGAGGGGCTATTGAGCAGGGATTCTGCATAACTGGTTCAGTTATTCATAGCTTCAAAAGTCTCATTCCACCAAACTTTGAATATGCAGTATCTGGAAGCCATTCTGTATGGGAAAATCTATATGTGTAAACTTAAACTAATTATGTTGTAGCCATTGGTTGTGCCATCAGTCTATAATTGCTGCATATGAGTACATGAAGTTGCATGTTTTTACCTGTACTGCACTACTGATGACAGTATTGGACATATTGGAACCAGTTCTACTCTTTGGATAGTCATATTTCTTGTGCCAAAGATGATGGTTAACAATCAGTCTGTCTTGCAGAATTGTTTTGAATGGATGGCAAATATTGTATCTGAGTTCACTACAGATACTATTACATACATACTTAATTTAGGCTTTTTAGTGCTAGATATGAATATTATATAATAGGTTAAAATGATCTGCTATGCAATCCAGCTCAGCCTGAGCCTTGGTGGTAGGATCTGATGAAATCAGAGTCTATGTTAACTATCCCACTGTTAGGAGAAAACATTCCTTAGTTTACTGTGCCTTCTTGATGAACTACATCAAAACCAGAAAAAGGATTCTTCCATCTGAATGGGTAGCTATCAGTAACTGCATGTTACCAAATTTACATATTCTAATCTCTATTATGGATTCCCTTGATGTTAGCCATTAGTGATTTAAGATTTTGTTTACAGTGTTTGCATACAAGTCACACTTGGCAAACAGTGTTTTATCTTTTCCTCAAATCCACAATTTTAATTTTTTAGAGAAAATATTAGTTCAAAAAGATGATAAGAGTCTCCCTACATCAGCCTGACTCGTCTTATTGTCCTGGAGAGCTAGACTGCAGAAGTTAACCAATAGAGCATACTTATTGCTAGTAATGGCTGTAAATTTTGGGAGTAGTAGTCTATTGCATGTTCAGCTTGGGAAAGCAGACCTGTTTTATAATTATTTAATTTTCAATTATGACTAGCACTTGGTGGAGCAACCATGAAGGCCTAGGAAAAGATATACAACAAATGCTGTGATGTGTCTATACCTTCAAAGATCAGAATTGTGCAAGCCACAGTATCCCGTGTGACACTCTGTGGAAGTCAAAGTTGGACTTTGAAGAAGCAAGTTAGGAAGAGTATTGATGCTTTTGAACTTTGATTTTGGAGAAGACTCCTGAGAATACCATGGACAGCCAAGAAAAGAAACCAGTGAATCATCAAACAAATTAACCCAGAGTTCTCACTCAAGGCACATGTGTCAGCCTTATGAGGTAGACTAGACCAAATGAGTTAATTCTACTTTATTATAAAGCTACATTAACAGAATCTTGCAAGTCTGAAATTTACATATGTCCTCCATCTCCTTTACAGCCCAAGAAACTAGGAAGGATCTCTTCTGAGCCTCTTGCCCTGCTCACATTCCTGCTGTGGGCTCAGCGGTCTTTTATCTGACCATTCCCTTGGTTGTATTTCTTTGCCCTGTCTCCCAAGGACATTCCCACATACCATTACAGAAATGACCAGGCTCAAATTATGCTATTTTAGAGACAATATGTGAAGACCTAGCTCCCTAGAGAAAGCTCTAATGCTTGGAAAGGTGGAAGGAAAGCGATGTCCAGCAGCAAGGTAGATAGACTCAATTACAGTAGCCATGAGTACAGTGTTGGAAGAGCTGAAGAACCAGGCTAGGGATAGATCATGGAGAAAATCTGTCTATGTGGTCGCTAAGAGTCAACAATGACTTGATGGCACGTAATCAATTGATCAGAAGTTCTATGCTCTTGTCCATTGATTTTCTGTCTTCATAAAAAAGTTGATAATGTTTTCCCTTTTAGCTTTGGAAACTAGAAATTATTATATACCTTAGATCTTATTACAAATCAGGATTTATAAGCCAGGCCTGAAACAGACTCATTAATTTCACTGTGGCATTCTTACATCTGTAGACATGAAACTGTTTTCTAATAATTGGTCTATTTTGCTCAATAATATCTGTACTGATTACTAATATCTTTTGAGGATACAGATGTGGATTAGATTAAACATTTACAAACATAAAAAATGTTCATTGAATAATAGAATCTTTTTCTTTCCTTTATTTGTAGTAACAGGTGTATTCCATTACAAAATCTGCGCCTGAAGAGATAGTACTTAGTTGAGCCAACTAACTTTTCTTGTTCCATTTTATTTGTTATCGTGATAAGCAGCATACAATACAGACTTAAAGTCTTTTACACAGAACAATCTAACTGGAGTAACCATGTGGTAATGTATTGTAGCATATTTCTAGGATAAAAATATAAAGGAAATGCTAGAGCCTTAGGGTAGCAACAGATGACAAGTATGGTATTTTGCTTACCTTGCAAATCAGTATGTAATCATCTGTATTGTTCAGGGTCACCTCTAGGACAGTGAAATAGAGCAATGTGGAAGTGGCTGGAGGAAACATCCATTTATGTAAACACATCTGTCCTTTTAGTCACTAAGACTTGAACCTAGAAATTGTTGATGTGGATGGTGGAACATTTCATAAAATGTCACAGAGAAGCTGAATTTGTTTGCAGATAAGTCATATTTGGAGATGTTCTTACAGTTTGTGCAAAGTTACTGATATCTATAAATATATACAGCATGCCTTGATAAATTCAAGATATTATATGTATTCTTGAATTAAAGATTCTGAAGAAAATGTAAATTTTTATATATTGCACTAAAGTAATCTGTTAATGACTTAAGAGCAGCACTTGAAGTTTTTATGGATGGTTATGTCTATGGTGAGCAAGGTAATGAAAGATGCAAAATGAGAGGGATAGAGTTTTAAGTTTTTGCAGAGAATTTGTTTTATGTTTATGCTGTAGTTTTCATGTACTTTCCACCTTGAAATAGTGGAAAGTGAAATTAGATTTGACAGTGTGGCAGAAAGTTATTCTTGGGACCACAAAACAGATTAAAGGAACCAAAGATCGCTCGCTGATTTTGCTGAACTAAATATTTAGGTTTTGAGATTGGTATAGTAAAGCTACTGAAAGGGAAGCAGAGCTAACATTCTCTGAATTAACTAGATTGCTGAGAACTTATAAATACTTTACCTAGTAGAAATTGCACTTTCCCCTTTGTTTCTACAGTAACATGCAGATAATTCATAGATGAGACCAGTTCTAGAAACGCTGCAGTTAACTGACTGAATCCATGAGATGCAAATATTATAATCAGTAAAACTGTATGCAATAAGTTTCCTAATTCTAAACAAGAAAATCATGTATGTATGTATGTATGTATATGAATATGAATGAAAATCAGGTGGTAATTCTGAGGAGAAAAATGTGATTTGGCATTCAGGTAATTTGATTTTATTGGGATATTTCTAAATCATTATTTGTTATGGTCATACAAAAACTTTTCAATCCAAGTATTAAAACAGTCACAATTTAGAGTTCTGATTTTATTAGCAGAGTACAATTTTTTTTCAATGGAAGTTGAAAAATATGTCCATGTGTTTAGGCTTGATTCAAATATAA